TAAAGGCTCCCATTCAGTGGAGAAACTGTTGATCTCTTCTGTTAGGCTGCAGCCATTGTTCACAGTCTGGCATGGAATTAATCCCTTAAGAAAGGGATAAAAAAAAAAAAGCCATTCAGCACAACATAGTTTGTCATCGCATGCATAATGCAGGCTTTCCAATTAGAATGCTACAATTTGGAAACTTTCTTCACAGACTGATGAGAGAGCAATTATTTTAAGAAGGGAAAGCTCAGTCCACTGGGTTTGCCTCCAGTCACTTCTGACTCAGGCCACAAAGACAAGAGTTTTGAAATCATATTCACTATCGAATTTTGTATCAAAACACCAGCAAGGAGAGCAATTAGTTGCTGTAAACTGAGCCCTGGGTAATCAATGGTATGCAACCAGCCAGAGCGTTTATGGAGGATGTAAGCAGAATCACATCTGCTAATCAATTTTTTTTAAACCAGCACTTCACTGCTCTTAGGGAGACTCCACTGTAGGAACAAGGGGAGATGGAGGAGACAGCATGTAATGTCACTGGGCGTTTTATGCCATGCTCATTAGATGGGGAGTCTACGGCAACCGTTTGCAGACCTGATCTGCACTGGTGAATGTCTGGTGGAATAAAGTCAGCCTCTTGGAAAATGGCTTCTGGTAGTGGGGTGGGGAGGGTGGGGTGTGTTTAAGGAGCTCGTCTCCTTTAAGGTCATGAAGAGTGTCTGTGCTGGGTGATCACACTCTGCAAACATTTCCAGCCAGATTACAAGCCAGAAATGTCTCTATGCTGTCAGTGCAAATACCTAAGAACAGACTTTGCAGGCAGACAAAGAAGCGAGTGAGGAAAAGGTGGGGCTTTACTCTGTGCCTAACGAGAGCCGAATTCTAACCCGTAGAAAGAAAGGAGATTGGGCCAGCTTTTCTTTCAGGGTTTAAAACTGTACTTGCTTTTTCAGTTGAATCAACAAAAGGATTTTATTCCTGGTGATGCCTAAGTACCAAGCAAATAGGCATCCTGGTACACGAATTGGAATCCCTCTAAAACTGCACATGGAGAAGATAGCCCTACACTTGATAACCTGCCATCCATCAGTGTCCCTTTCCACTCAAGAGTCACCGTGACCCTGCATTCCCCAGGGACTCTTAATAGAAGACTAGGAAGGAGATGTCTTAACCAGTGTGTGCTCTTGGCTGCTATTCAGGAAAGAAAAAATTTAGGCTAGGAGAAATTATTGAGGTAAAGATCGATGGACTAGGCTAATAAAAATTAATATCTTTAGCATGCCAACTATGATAGACAGTGAATTAATATCCTTTAGATGTAGAGGACATTTTGTAAGTCATTAACAAATGGGATAAATATAGAAAATGCAGAGAATGTTCAAGTTCAATGATAAGTTTTTAAAACCTGCAGATTAATGAAATGTGTTTCATCTATAACAGCAGCAGTGTTTCTAGGTAGATTATCAGTGAGATGTACGGAACAAGGCACTGGCTAGATCCAGCTGGCAGTACAACCTGTTAGAGATTTTTGTTTGGGGTGTGGGAGAAGAGAGGTCAGTAGCTACTTTATACTACATACCACAGCCTCACAATGAGAATTCTTTAATACAAACATTCAAGGGAAGTAGTAGATTTAGCTAAGAATGTTTACTAAAGAATTTTCTTAACAGTGAAATATTACTAACTGCCTAAGAGACTGATTATATTGTGGGCGTCCATAGAATGACTTGCTGTGATGTCAGTATCTATGACATAGATGACTGAGGCATGACTTTACAAGTTCTCTACTCATCCTCCACCCCTGCCCTGGGATTTCTCTGTGTGACAGTCCTGCTGTCCTGGAACTCACTCTGTAGACCAGGCTGACCTTCAACTAAGAGATCCATCTGCTTCTGCCTCCCAAGAACTGGGATTAAAGTCATGTGCCACCACCAGTCAGTTGACAGGTTTTTCTGGTACCACTGTCACTGCAGGAGTCTCTGAGGACAGTTAACCTTACTCAACTGCTCATCTTTCTGTATCTTCTCCATGTCTGGTATCCTCAAGGTGGTCTCTTTCCATGAAACATTGTGAGATCTGGTTAGATTCCGTCCCCCAGGGACCGAGTGGTTTTATTTGGGTACCTTATCAGACGCTTACTCATAGTTACCTGGGAGGACAGGGGGCTGTGATGCTCTGGTCCTCCATTAATAATCCCGAGTCTTAGTGAAAGAACCAGGTGTGGTGGCACAGGCCTTTAGTCTCAGCACTCGGGAAGCAGATCTCTGAGTTCAAAGTCAGCCTGGTCTACAAAGTGAGTTCTGGAACAGCTAGGGCAACACTGAAACCCTGTCTCAAAACAAAACAAAAGCTCCAAGAATCCTGGCGACGGTTGTCTGCAGAGAAACCTGTTATTAGAGCTATACGGTAAAGAGAACAATTAACTTGAGATTTCCCCTTATGTGTAATAGAGAATGACTGTTATTTGGTAGCAAGCAGAACTATGGAACAAAGAACCAAAGGGAAAGGAACTGGGCCTTGGGGACAGGCCTGTCATATTAGCTGCTCAGAGCCCTGAAAGGCTAGGGGTTCAAAAAATTTAAGACCTTCCTAGGGTTACCAGGTGAGAGTTGAAGTCCTGCCCTGGCAGCTTAGATCCTGCATCAAAAGGCACAGTAAGAGGGCTGTGAACATAGCTTGCCTAGCCCTGGGTTAATATCCGGAAACAATCACAGCAGCAGTAATTCTCTGCGGTAACCTTACAAAACTTCTGCAAGAATTTTCATTGACCATAATTGCAGGATTAAAGAAGACCCTAGGAATGGGGTTATGAAGTAGAAATACAATTTAGATACATAAAGTGGGAATAACAGAGCTGGGCAGTGGTAGCACTCTCAAAACAGAGGCAGATGGATCTCTGTGAGTTTGAGGCCAACCTGGTCTACAGAGTGAGTTCCAGGCTCCAAAGCTACACAGAGAAACCCTGTCTCTAAAAAACCATAAATAAATAAAGTGGGAATAACAGACCTGGGTTTTGATCGGGATCCAGGTTGGAATCTTGCATCACTCATGTGCTGACAGTGAACTTAAATAAGGTACTTACAGCCACAAGGCTCACATCTACCATCCGTATAATGTGAGGGGTGCCATCATGCTTGCTAAGAGGATACTCAGGTGGGTATAACAGACCAGACTGCAGAGCTCCTGACGTGAGGCCTGACCCACATAAGCATTAAAGAAACGTGGGCTCTCATGGTCATCATTGTTACTGCTCTGTCTGCCCAGCTGGCATCCACTGAGCACTGGCTCAAAGGGAGAAGCTGTTCCAAGCTTTGAGTGCAGACACTATTTAGACATGGGCACTACATTCAGGGTGCTCACTGCTATGGCTGACTAGAAGTATGTGTGTACGACTTCCTGTTCAACATTGGGATAGTTCATAGTTTGTGTAGGCAAAGACGGCTGAGACAGTTACAGATTTCACATTGAGAGGCTCGGATTCTGTTTTTAATTGAAGAAGCACACATGTAGAGTGTGTGGGTCACACATCTTTTGTGCATAGCTTGATGAATATTTACATGTTCCTGCAGCCATTGACTACCACTGAGATCAAAGTAGCACATCTCTGACCTTCTAGAAGTTGCCCTCATCCCATTTCCCAATCAATGCCTTCCTTAGAAGCTATTCTGAAACTGGTAGGTAAGCGTATTCTGCTTTGAACTTCATGTAAGTGGACTCATAGTCCATTGACGTCTCAGATGAGCAGAAAGAGAGCTCAGAGCAGAACCAAGGTAGTAAATTCCCAGATAATGACTGTTTTCTGGTACACTTGACCCTCACACACTTGGGGCCCATGTAGTTGAACACTCATTTAAATTTTTTTGTTTGCAAAAAAGGACACAGTTTTTTTTTCTTGTCAATTCCTTTAAAAATACAGAACAAACTATTTACATGACATTTGCTTTATATTGGGTATTACAAGTAACTTGAGGATAATTTGAATTATGAGGAGACCAGGTAGGCTGTTCATAACCCTATAAAAGGAGTCCTTAATTGGTCTAGATAATAAAAGGCCAGAGTCAGATATAGAGGGAAATGCTGAGAGATCAGAGAAGGAGAAAGTCACAGCACACCTTACCTCCTAAGCGTCTCAGCAGAGAAGACAGTGATTACCTCTTTGTCCCTGCTTATATACTCTTACTACCCAGCTACATCACTTCCTGCCTGTCTGTACAGACCTCCAGACCTCTATGGTTAGCTAGTAGAAAGTTCCATTCTCTGACACCCAGACAGGCCTTGTTTGTGCAAGAAAGATATCACCACATAACCCTGTAATCACAACACTTGAGAAGCAGAAGCAGGATTGTGGGCTCATTGGCTTAACCTACACCACAAGACCTTGTCTGTGGAGAATGTGCACATAAACATAGACACACATCTTTGTATGTGTATGTATCTATCTACCTGTGTGAATTTGTATTCATGTATGTCAGAGGTATGTAACTATATATGATTGCATAGATTTTTTATAATAAAATATATGTAATATCATGTCACTGAAGGACTTCAGTAACCACAGACTGGGGTACTAGGACTGGTCTCTCATAGACATTAAGGGATAGCTGTATTTCCACATCAGGTAATCTTACCACGGTCATGTGGAAACGATATAAAAATGAGAAGAAAGCAAACAGGGCAAGTGCTTGATAGCACCTGTTGGAAAGAGTCCCTGAGCAGTGTTTCTGGGTTGCCACCCTCAGCTAGCTCAGACGCTACCAATGACAGCTGGAGAACCTGAAAAGATGACACAGGACTTTCTCCCTCCTGAGCCCGTCTGAACTTTGCTGCTAAAGGGACAGAGGTTCCCTGGGATTGGGTGGCGAGTGAAGCAGACTTCCAAAGAGTGACCCAAAGCCTGACCCCAGCCCTTTCCTCGTGTTGTCATTGGGATTCACTTCCTTCTACAGCCTGGGTACAAGGTGGGACACAGGTCCAGTTAGGACGCAAAGATAATGTAGTGTTTTCTCTTTGTTCAGGTTATTACTCTGGGACTGTGATGATCGAAGCTACAGTTACTATGTTGAAGTTTCCACCAATCAGCAGCAGTGGACCATGGTGGCTGACAGAACGAAAGTATCCTGCAAGTAAGTAGCATCTGCTCACTGCAAGGGCAGCCCTGTGTGTCAGAGGCCCCTGGGAAGATTGATGCAGCCACCAGGGAGGTGAAGTACATTCCCATGATCCTCTGGTTCAATTTTGGCTGTTAAGAATTTAAATGAGAGTTTACTTGCCGTGCCCAAATAAGCTTTACCTGTGAACTGAACTTGAAAATGACTGACATGTCCAAACAGGGAAAGTAAGAGATTCCTTGTGCAGTCCAACCTCCATCCTCTGAGTCCCACACTATCCTTTTAGGAACTTTACTTCCTCAGAGAACTTAACTGCAGTGGTGAGTGTGGGGCTGTCTCTTACTCCTCACCTAGTGCCATTTCTCACAGCAGACCTACCTCATCCAGCCCTAAACTAAGGAAGGCCATGAGCCTTAGGTTCTCATGGCCTTCGGCACTAGGTGTCTAGTTGAGCTTACCTGGCTATGGGAACACCTAGAAAGAAGGGGTCTGTGGGATCTGGCCAGCCTTTAACCATGATGCATGAAGAGAGCTTGGTGCCTATTGGGGAAGAGTTTCTTCTAGGAGACAAAACAGCAGAGCCAAGATTTCATCTTTAAAAATCAAATTACCATCCCGTACTAGTCAGACCTCCATCCCCATGACACAGCACTGAGAAACAACTTTCACAGATGAAAGTTTCATCTGAGCTCCTGTTTCAGAGGTTCCTGCCCATGGTCATGAGCTTTCCAAGGGGCCTCTGGGGAGCTGGAGGAAAGGAGGTGCTGGGACCCCAGTATTACCTTCCAGGCCATGCTTCTGGCCACCACCTCCCAGGACCACAACACACACGTGACCAAACTAGCCTTTAGCACGGGCCTTTGAGGAGCATTTTACATCCAAATGATAACGCCTTCATGTGTTCTAAACTCACACTCATGAAGTATGCATTCACAGGGTTGTACAACCATTACTCACTGTCCAGTGTTGTGCAATGGTTTCAATAAGCCCTCCCCCAAATAAACCTGTTTCCCTCCAGCTGTTCCAACATCTAGTGATTTACTTTGTCTCTGGATTTGCAAACTATGGGAAGCCTGTGTAAATGGAATCATGTGCTGTATGATTTTCTGTCTTCTGTGTCTTCTCCTTGGTGTGTTCTCCAGTTCATCCTGGAGATGGATTGTGTCGTACATGAAGATTTTCTTTTGTCTGGGTGAATAATATTCTAGTGTGTGACCTTATTTTCTTTAGTTGTTCATCCAGACAGACATTTGAATTGGCTTTTTCCTCTTTAGCTTTAATGAATAAGACTGCTTTGCATATTCCTTATAGGAGAGTGTGTGGATATACTCTTTAAGTATTCTTGCATGTATACCTAGGAGCAAAATTGCTGCATGACATTTCTTGGTGGCATCAATGACAGTGTTGGACTGCTGTTAGACAAACTGTGCTTAGCTCTTTGAAGAACTGCTGAGCCACTTTGCTTGGCCATCAGCAGCATGTGAAGGATCAGTTTCTCATTCTTACAAGTCTTGTGAGCCACAGTCAGGCCTAGGGGAATGAATTGGGCCCCTTGAGGCTTTGATTTGTATTTCCCATGGCTGACACTGCTGAGCATCTTCTCCTAACGTTTATTTGGCTATAATTTCTTTTCTAATGTCTCCCTTTGTGGTTGATTGGTTGGCTAGTTGCCAGAATTCTGCTAGGAAGTTGTTCCACTAAACTATGCAGCTGGTCCATGACTTCTTAATGCCATTGATGACAGTGTGTTAGACTCCATCAGTGTTCAACACCATCAGCACTACTATTAGTTACCACACAGCTTGTTTTATGGTGAAGTTCACATTCAGGGCTATAACAAATAAGCTTCAGTCTTTAGCCAACTTCATGTAACAGTGTGATTAGCAGTCCACATGGGTGTTCCTGCTTGTCAAATGGCCTCTTCTTGTGGGTTCCTCATTGCTTGGGGGGGGGGTCATCACTGTCTTCTACATCTAGCAAATACAGGTCATGGAAGCAGAAAGAAAAGTGACAGCTGGTTCTAAGAAGCTCTGGCTTGTACAGTGTGCATTCCTTCTAGTCACACGCCACTAGGGACAAAAGCAGCCTCTCTGGTGTATCTCGACCACCACTTCTGAAGGGAGCATGAGTCCTGTGAGCACCTTGGCCAGAGTGTAGAGAACAAGCTGTTTGCTAACTAGCATTCCAGCACTTTCCTATATTGTATCTCATTGTCTGGATACAAAGTGCTTAGTGGGCTGTTGCCCTCATTTTATAAAAGAGAAAATTAATTTGGAGAGAAGAAGCATCTTTCCCAAAGAACAGAGGTCAAATTTAATCCAGGACGCCTTGCTACTTAGCACATGCTGTACAGAACCCAGGTGTTACTGAAGAACACCAAACCACCTTGGGTGGAGAAACAGGAAAAGGGGACGGGGGATCTTGTTCCCAAACTGCTGGAACCCTTTACAGACAGTGGCAAGTCTCTAGGCCCCATGAGCCACCTGCCCCATTCCTTTCTCCGGAGCCAGCTGTTGAGCACAGCTCACTTGACAGTCCCCTCTGTCACTTGTACTTTTCTTTACAATCTCCATCCAGGGAGCTCCTCAAGCCTTCGTCAAGAGTGCACTCATTCTGCACAGATGCCTGCCTGCCCTGATGGTTTGTATTGAGCTCACTGGGGTTGTGTGCCTGGGGGCTCTTCTGTGTTCAGGTTGCCTCCATGCCTTTGCATGGCCATCAACATCTTATTGGTTTGTTTCCATTAATTGATGGACTTAAATAATTGACAAGATTTCTACTTCGATTTTAGCACTCAGGTTCTCCAGGAGCATTTTACATATTAATAAGCTATGGATGAGTCATCAGAACAAAAGAGAAGGAAAAGGAAGGCAAGATTCTGTCCACTCCATTAGAGTCTGTGGAGCCATTGGTTATGATTTTACATTTATAGATGTACCACCACACCTTTAAGCATAGTGCTTCAAAAGATGTGCAAACAGTTCTCTTCACTTACGTCTCAGAGAAGATGTCACGGGGAGGCTCTTTAACTTCTGGGACTGTAGCCTGCTTGTGCTGAGAGGTAGCATGGGTAGGGGTGGTCGGGGTACACAGAGATCTTAGCCCTTGTATGCTTGGCCCTACTCTTGCTTGCTCTCAAGGTAGAGGATTATTCCTATTGTGAGTAACCATGCTTTGGTATTGACAGTTTTAAAAAAATGTACTACTTCTCAAGGTTTAACCTTTAGTCTTCAGCTCTTACATTCGAAACGTGATTCTCTTCCTCTGCTCTCCTCCAAATTGTTGAACCCTAATCTTTTCCAACAAATGCAAACAGCACAGAGAACATCAAGCAATACCAGGGGATGTAAGCAGAGAGCAAAACCCGACCTTCACATCTTCCTGTGCACCGCTCAGAGGTAGCTGGGGCTTTTAACTTGCTTGTAAGGCTTTTGTTTTGTTTCCTGTTGACTGCCATAGTATCAACAGTATCTCATTCATTATTCATTTACCAGCTCCATTAACCTCCTACTCATTTCCGGGTTATGTTTTCTTTTTAGCTCTACTATAATGCAGTTTTTAAAAAATAAACAATATACCTGATTTGTGCTTTCTGGTCCCTCCTTTAAGGACAGAACCTCCTGATTTCCCACTATGCTGATGAAGAAATGGATACCCTGTGCATGCTCTTTCTTTCCTACTTCTCGTTTTTTGTCAGAGGACAGCTTGCATGAAGGAGTCCATGGAGGGAACCCACCATGTAGGGCTGGGGGATCCAGCTCAGGTCCCTAGGCTTGCCAGCAGGTTCCTTTACCTGCTAAGACATCTCACTGGCCTAGTTTGCTTGATGTGGACTCTCACCAGGTAGGTCTCCCTGGCTAGATTGGAACTTACTGTGTAGACCAGGCTGGCTTCAAATTTGTGGTGATCCTCCTGCCTCTTGAGTGCTAGTATGACAAATGTGAGCCACCATGCCTGGTTTCCCTTTGTAGTTCTTTGAAGCTATATTAGAGGCTTTCAGAGAAAAGTAAAAATGTATGTAGTGTGTGTCATCTTGCATCTAAAGTCCCCCAAATGCTGCCTGGCTCCCTTGGGGTCAGCTGTTGGTAGTCCAGTGCCTTGAATTGCTTTCTGTCTTTTTCTCTGCCTAACCTGTCACACAGCTGTCTTACTTCCTGTTGGGGTGTATTTCTCAAGTGCTGACCCTATTGTGTCCACATTGTAACCATCTCTTTGTCTGACAAAGTAGTAGTGACCTTAGCCATCTCCTCTCTCCCAGACCAGTGGCTTGGCAAGCATTTTGGCAAATGGAAAAATTATGTCTTATGAATTGAGCGGTGATGGGAATGGTATCTTGTCATTGACAGGAATCTGGTTGTAATCTGGGACCCCTGGCCTAACTCGGGGGCACCAGAGTATTGTCTGCCTGCAGATTGGCTGCCCAGCTCCCTTCTGAAAGGGTTTTCCAATGTAAGAATTCGTTAAACATGGTGTTGCAGAGAGAAGCGGTATACACCAAGGATGATAAAGCAGAGTTCGAGGAGTGTAATCAGAAGAAGGGGAAGGCGATAAAAACCCAGAGGAACCATGCCACCACGGTGACAGTATTGCCCTTCTGCAGATGTTATGGAAACTATCTCTAATTTTTCTCTATTTTGACCAAGTCACACATATTCCTTGGAAAAATACTTGTAGAAAAAGCTACATTTGAGGAAACGTATTTCTTCTTTTTGTTTGTCCCCCCACCACCCCCTTTTCTCCCTTTGTGTTCAGAAAGGGCAAGCCTGCCATGGATAACAACAAAGCATGGCCCATCAGGTTGCATTAGGACTAAGCTCCTCCCCTTTTAAGCATGGCCCATCAGGTTGCATTAGGACTAAGCTCCTCCCCTTTTAAGCATGGCCCATCAGGTTGCATTAGGACTAAGCTCCTCCCCTTTTAAGCATGGCCCATCAGGTTGCATTAGGACTAAGCTCCTCCCCTTTTAAGCATGGCCCATCAGGTTGCATTAGGACTAAGCTCCTCCCCTTTTAAGC